TCTTATGTGTACCAGAAATTGTGCCAGCCAGTTGTGGGTCCCATTCCTTGGTGAGGCTCTACAGTAGACATATTGGTATTTTGTCTATTACCAGCCCCTCCCATATGGGAATCACCCCTTTCCCATTTCATGTAATTCTGGCAGGACTGTAAATCAAGAGACTGATTCCCACCCACGGTAGTGGCCATATGACCCAGAATGATCAGTCATAACTCCATTTAAGGGAATTTCTCTATAGACTCTAGGAGAAGAAATAGTATCTCTTTTTCTGAGATTGCGAACTTAGATCTTCCGGGACCCTCTTTTTCACCTAACGGTAAGGCCATGACACCAATGCTGGGCAAAGCAGGGCTCTGAAGTCGAGAGGGAGAAACAGATTCCGAATGACAGCTATTGAGCAACTAGATCCAGCCCAACCTGAAATCAACAGTTCCACAACCTTGGACTTAGTTGCATTAGCCAATATATCTTTTCTAAAATTTAATACAATTAAGCATGTTATGAATTGGATTTCTATCACTTGGGGGTAATTGGGGGGTGATCCCATGATCTTACCTAACTGTAAGATGTCAAGGGAGTCAGTTTATTTTCTCACTGATATTTTTCCTGAGGGTCTCACTGGGTGCACTTATCACACCTCCACTGTAGACATCTGAAGCCCCTTCCTTTTTTATAGTTCTCTCTTTGAATCTACTGCCTCTTGCCACCTCAGGGTGGCAAGCTAAATGGAGAATATGGACAATACTTCTCAGAGCACTCATTGCCGTGGACCTTTCTCTGAAAGACAGACTGTTGTGTCCGTTTATCATGTTAGAGAATCCCTAGTGAGAGTAATTTTTTGACTAGGACCTCTGCATTCAAAACAACTGTTTAGGACCTCATTGGGAAAGTCTCCACTTATCTTAATCCTATATTTTCTTATTCACTGGAAAAGAGCTTATAGGGTCAAATAAAATTAATTTCACAGGTCCTTGAATTGCTTGCCTCATAAGTTCTCCTATTTTTATTTTTTGGAGACTGGTGCCATTTTAAGGGTTCTAATATTCCAGGCCATTAACATACTGTTTCTCTTCTACAATGCCTCTAGCCATGGATTCATGAACCCAATGTAGGAATGCTCTTTTATATCAAGGGTTGGGGAATCCCAGCCATGGGCTAAAATCCAGTCAGCTGCCTATTTTCATAGATAGTTTTATTGGCACACACCCACACCCATTTATTTACTGTCTATGGCCACTTTTGTTATGGCTACAGAGACCATATGGCTGCAGAGCCAAAAATATTTAATATCTGACCCTTTACAGAAAACGTTTACTGATTTCTGCTTCTCAACCATCTCCTCATCCTGGCATCCAGTAAATAATGGTACTGGAAGAGATGAAGGAGTTAATATCTTGACAAACCTCTGGAGCATACTGCTTAGGAAGGTCTCCTCTAGAACACTTGCGGCAGGACATGGCCTGGTATATACTTGGATTACAACTGTCTGATAGCCCAGTCTTCCTTTTGAGACACCTGGGGACAAATACATGCTCTAAACCTTGGTTCCGTACATTCTGTGTTTAGAAATCCATGTGGACTTCAGTCTTGGCCAAGGCCAGGGTTATTTCTCCTGCTTGTGGGTGATCTCTTGGGCATCCTGACTTTCTGTGGAAACTCTCCGTGCAGCATCAATTAATGTATAGTTCCAAAATGAGACTGAGAAAAGCACAAAGATGTTACCATCACTGGTGGGGCCAGTCTGAGCCACTGGGGTTCAAAACTAATGACCAGCTACCTGTTCAAGAGCTGGACTGTGCCCCTGAATATGTGGTCAGAATCTGTTTCAGCTGTCACAGTCACTTGTCCTTCTCCCTCAAATGGCACGCCAGTGACGGCAATTAGTGTTCATCTTCTGAACTGACATTCTGGGTGCCATGATACTCACTGGTGTCCATGACTTCACTTCTGTATTTCAACCCCACGAGCTATGGAATCCTTAAAACGCCCATCATATTTTGAGGTCTCATCACTACACTCTTCCTTTTTCTCATTTTATTATGGAGCAAATTCACTGCAGAAGCCATAGGAGTGACTGTTCACTCTTCATATTGCCATAGAGGAGAAACATGGGTTAAGAACTAGTCACACCAATCAAAAACCAATGATGTAATGTGTGGTGATTAACAAAACAATAAAACATTTTAAAAAAAGAACTAGTCACACCAATAGAAAGAATGAAACTGCAAGTTTATTTGAAAATATAAAAGTTAAAAAAAAAAAAAAACAAAAAAACCAAAAACCCAAACCAAAACCTAACCAAAACATGAAAAGCAACCACACGACGAACTTTCCAGTTTACATCAACTTTGAACATCGGCACACTCCTTGTCAACCACTTCGTTGCATTTTTTTTAAAAAGTCAATTTTGGAGGGTGGGGGCTGAGTCAGGGGCTGTAAGCTATAGGTTACAGGGATGCGAATTTGAACATGAAAATAAAAAGAACTTGCTGGTCTCATCTGAGAAAGAAAGAGCAGAGATGGTTTTCAGGCGGCTGTAGAATTAGGCAATGTATAAACAAATAGCCTGGATGGAATGAGTTAAAAAAAATTGCTGGCCACTTATTTGCCATCTTGATTAGGGGGAAAAAAAAAAACAGGAAAAAACCCCCTGCAGCTTTGGTGTCTTATTTATAGATTTTTTAAAAGATTCATTAAAAAAATCACATCTATAATAAAAATGTCCCTGTATTTAAAAAAAAAAAACAAACAACAACATTAATAGGCTTTCTTATCTACTAAGACCATTTGTTTTTCCTAAGATGCCTGGAAGCAGAAAAGCGAGTGAGATTAATTCACTGCACAATTAATTAAAATTAGAATCCCTTTCTCTAAACAACTTCCAAAATACCAGAAAGAAGCACGGGCCCCTCAAAGGGAGAAGAAATAAAGCCATTCTGACTCACAGGAGATGAAATGCTCAGCCAGAGCTCCTAACACACTCTGGCTCCCATTGAAAGTTCTTTCTTTATTGGATTACACAGAAAATAACTGGTGTTATTTAAAAAAATGAAAGATGCAAGCAACTAGGCTCCTTTTCTTTAACTTAAAAAAGACAGAAAGAAATCACCAAGTGGCTAGCTTTCCTGTAACACAGTTTGGATTTGGTTTAAAAAAAAAAAAAAAAAGTCCCGAGAACAGGATCATTAATGCCACGTCGTCCCCCCACTCGTGCAGGCTGCGCTGAAATTTGCATCAGCGAGGTCACTGAACATTTCTTCTGCTATGTAAGGAAGTCCTGACTGGGTGACCGCTGCCTGGAGTGGCTCCACCTGGTTCCAGTTTTGTCCCCCATCAGTGTGGTTTCTTGCCAATGAATGCCCACATTTCTCCCCGCTATTTCTCCAGGGAGTGGGCCCTGCAGCTGGCTGGGCACAGAGAGAGAGGAAAGCAAGCATAAACACAGAGACTATGAACCGAGGGAGAAAGGCATCCCTCTTTCTGCATCCTTCAAGAACTCGATAAATAGCAACTCAAAGTGCAACAATGCACAAACGCCTGGCACACAGGTCAGTCTGGAGTGACTCAGTATCGAGGCTCAGCGGGACAAAGGTGTGATCTCCTTTCGCATCTTTCTTTGGACCTCACTCAAGGAGAAACAAACAAAGAAGACAACTTTCCTATACACATATAAATAATCCCTTAACTAGAAGGGAAAAAACAAACACACTGTTTCAAATGCATTTCTAAGAGATTAAAAAAAAAAAAAAGTCCGAATGGCAAATCTCGACTCCAAATTGTCTACTGTCCAAGTCTTTTAGAGGAGAAACTATGGCAGGTCAGAAGAAGCCTGAGCCTGACTCTAACCCTAACACGAATGCTGAATCAGGGTGCTGGTTTCTGGGCCTTGGGCAGGGAAGTGTGTGCAGCACAGGGAGCCAGGGGCTCTGGTGGGAGGTACTGAATATGGTTCTCATGCGTGTCAGGAACCACAGTGTCCTCAAGTCCAAACGCACAGGTACAATGACTTCTGGAAGTTAAGGTAACCTGGGAAGCTAGTGTGGAAAGCTGCATGAATCGGCAAGACAGGCTGGGAGTGGTTTCCAGGGACAGAGGACCAGATCAGATTTTTGGCCAATTCAGGTTGGGTCCTCCTTCCTTGGCTCCGGGCAGGTCACAGCTGGAGGGGTGACAATCCAGAAGCCAGGGAAGGACTGTGGACCTAAGCAGGCCCAGGCTCTCGATAGCCTGCATTTTAGGAGCTGAGAACTCAGATGAATGTATGGCAGGGGCTCCCTGCCTATTCTGGGATGAGGCTGAGGACAGATGCTGCAGAGAAAACCCTCAAAATGAGGATTCTCGGGAAAGTTTCAGAGTCGTTCAGAGAACCAAAATGGCCCTGCTGATGGCTAAAGGGCATAACTCTTGGCCAACGCCTCCTCTGGCCACTGCTCTGCCAAACTGAGGACAGCGTGCACGAGCGTGTAAGGTGGGGTTTGACGCGCACCTGGACTCCTCCAGGGTGGCCATCCATGCCGGCCTCCTGGGAGGGTCATCTAACCCCCGTCTCCCACGGGGCTGCAAGGCAGCGGCCCATGGAGAATGTGGTCCAGGGTCTCCTGCCCTTCTGAACATCCACCATGGCACGGAAGCACTGCGTTCTCGAGGACTCCCCAACTCCTGCCTTACCCTGCTGCCTGCAGACTGAGGCTGCCTATTCAGCAAGATGCCACCAGTCACAGAAGAATGGTATGACAAGTGAGGTCATAATCCTGGGCCCTGAAGGCCGAGTGACCTCCCAGACAAGATGCACAATACATCAGGTCACCCGAGAGGCCAGCAAAATGCCAGGTCTCCCTCGAAAGGACATCCCTGAAATCTAGGGCGGGGATGGGGGGTGGGAGGGGGAACGGAGAGACACCCTCCTTGAGGCACCCTGAGGAGCTTCCCACGAGCGAAAGTTGTTAGGATGGTAACAAGTCGGAGCAGATGGACCCATATGGACCGTCGAAGCGGCGGATTTAGACCTCTGCGGCGCCCTGGCTGGGCACGGAGTCCCTGGGCCCCGCGGCGCTCTCGGGAGGAGGGCCGGCCTGCCCGGGGCTGCGGCCGCTGTCTTCGGCGCTCAGCAGGCTGCTGGCCGCCTGGGAGCCCGCGCTGTCGGCGCTCCCCGAGCGCGAGCGGTAAGGGGGCAGGGCGGCTTCGTTCAGAGACTCGGTGTCCGATGAGTAGGGCGGAGGCGGAAGGTCATACCACGCGGGTCTGCAAGGGAGAGAGCAGGATGGGGCAAGAGAGGCAGGGGAGAGCAGAGGGAAGACAACGCGTTAGGAGCCAAATCCCCCTCCGCCCCCGTCCCCGGGATGCCGATGTGACCCCCGAGGAGGACGGCTATCCGCGGACTAGGGTGACCCCTGCAACAAGACCAAGGGAACGGGGCAAGGTCGGGGTGCTGTGGCTGGCGCGTGCCGAATGGGCAGTGCCCAAACCACGTCCTCCGGGTCGGCCCAGGGTGGGAGGATGCCCAGCACCAGCCAGGGAGGGGCCCTGGGGCCTAGCGGCTGGCCGGCTGTTCGGGCTGAACCTCTGATGGTCCACAGAATTTGGGGTTCTTAACTGAAAGCCAACTTTTCCTGGCTGGCTGGGCTTGGGTGAGCGGGGATCTTCCCACTGATGAAGGGGGTAGTAGGGACCCTGGCTCGCTGTGCAGTAACTTCGCAGGAAAGACAGCTTATTTTGCAGCTCTTCCTGCAGGCATCCTGTGAGCCAAGCACCGCGCTACCTGCTTTACCTGCACTACCTTACTTAACGCTCATGAGAACACTAAGAGGTGGGCGTTACTTTTATACCCATTGTACAAGGGAGTAAACAGAGGCAAGGGGGCATGAAATGACTTGCGTAGGATCACAAATAACTAGTAAGCAGCCGCTCTGGGATCGAAACCTAGGTGTTCCGTCTTCGGATTCGGCAATTTTAACTTGACTCTACATTGGCTGGTCCAAATGAAGAGGCTGAGTGGTGAGGGAGGTCCTGGGCTCTTCCCCTTATTTGCAAAGATGTCCTTAAGCACTGCCCTCCAATGTCACCTCCACGTTTTATGGGGAGGAAAAACAAAGATTAAATAACACAAGAGCTGCTGCAGGAGAGGGTCCAAGAGCTGCCCAGTCAGCCCGGGGGCATGACCTGCAAAATGCCTCTCGCCACACACGTTGAGCCCTGCGCTCAGAGGAGGAGAGCACAGGGGTCCTAGAGCCAATCGAACTTCCAACATGGGTTCTCTGGGATAACCTGGAGGTCACCAAAGAAGGGAGGAGGAGGCTGAGCCGGCAGGATTCAGGTCCACCAGCTGCTTCCACTATAGAATTCTGCCTTTTGACTCTGTTGCGCTTTCTGGTACAATCCCATTTGAAATGAGGGTCCTATTTTTTTTAAAAAGCTTGAGAGTGCTCTATGCTACCTCCTTTATTTTATAAATGGAGCCAAGCAAGGAACCCATTCATTCATGCATTCATTCATGCATTCATTCATTCATTCACAGTACAAACCAACCCTCTAATACGGCCTGGCCACTGTTCTGTGGTAGAAGGTGAGGCGCCGGGCTAGCCAGTGGCCTGGACACAGGTCAGCGTGGCATTACCAGGCAGAAACAGGGCTCTGAGGTGGCCAGCATCCTAGCTCTATGTCCTTGGACAAGTTGCTTAAAATCCCAGAGTCCATTTCCTCATCTGTAAAAACTGAGGCACTCCCCCAGCGACCTGCAGAGAGGATTAAATGAGATGATACAGGGCGCCTGGGTGGCTCAGTGGGTTAAGCGTCTGCCTTCGGCTCAGGTCATGATCCCAGGGTCCTGGGATCGAGTCCCACATCGGGCTCCCTGCTCAGCGGGGAGGCTGCTCCTCTCTCTCCCTCTGCTGCTCACCCCTGCTCGTGATCTCTCTCTCTCGCTCTCAAATAAATAAATAAAAATCTTAAAAAAAAAAAAAAGAGAGGCTGCGTGTGAATTGTCCTGCTAGGTCCCAGGACCCAGGACATGCCAGGCCCTGCTGCGGCCGCCAGCAGCTGGGTGCCCACACCCCACTTTCCCCATCGATGACCTCCCTCCGCCCCCTCCACCCTCCAGCACGCACCTCTGGTCCAGGAGGGCCTCTGAGTAGGAGGGAGGGGAGCCCACTTCGGAAGCGTTCTGCTCGGCCTGGCTGGCCACGTACTGGATGCCGTTGTTGACATTGTAGGTGACGTTGCAGTGATGGGGGTGGTCCAGGACCACCAGGCGGGAGAGCAGCACCGGGTGCTGCAGCCGGTGCACAGGCAGGGTCATGAGGTTGTTCCTCTTGCGCTGGTGATGCAAGACGAGCGCCAGCAGCGCCACCACCAGCACGAAGATGACGGAGCTGCCGATGATGGCGTAGGTGATGCTGGGGTAGTACACCAGCTGGTTCTCCGACGTCACGAACACCTGCCCGCTGCCCGGTTCTGAGAATCCCCGGCGGGGGGCGGGGGGAGAGAAGGGGACAGAGCTTACCGCCTTGGCTCGCCCGCCTGCTTCAGACGCAGTCCCAGCAAGTGCATGCAAGTGTTGCGAGCGACCCGATTGCCAGCAGCCAGAAAGCCCAAAACCAGCCCCGCCCCCCATCCCGGCACTGGCAAATGGCTGAACAAAATGGGGGAGAGCCACACGACGGAATATTAGTCCCTTATTACATGAAATGTTCAGGAAAGGCAAATTTATAGAGACGGAAAATGGGTCAGTGGTTGCCTAGGGCTGGAAATTGACCAGAAATGTGTAGAGAAGTGAAGAACACTGGTCGGTATGCGCCTGGGGTTCCTTGTGTCTGCCGTGTGCTTACTTTACACCCGGCCCGAGGCCAGGCTTTCAAGATAGAGAGCCAGTGGAGCACAGGAGAACATCAGGGACTCCGGAACCAGACTAGGTTCAGATCGCTGCCACTGTGCCGTCTCGAACGTACTAGGTGCCCCTTGCAACGTGGTAGCCTCTCCGTGCTGTAATCTCTGTAATCTCCCCATCTGTAAAGTGGGGAGAGTTGTGTGCTTCCAACAACAGCAGACCCTGCCAGGCAGGTACGTGTTCCAGACAGACAGACACACGCTTTATCCCCTCTACTCGCCTCATAGCAATTCTGTGCATCAGGTGCGGTAACTGCCACCTTCTTTTTAAGGGGAGCAAAGTGCATCTCAGAGGGTCCAAGCCCCCTGACGAGGGTCCCAGGGTTAGGAGGTAAAGACTGGTCTGACACCAGCGCCTTGCCCCTCACACTGTGTCCGGCACCCCCTGACCAGACCCGCTAGGCAATCTGCAAGCACTTCCTCAGAGGCCCTCAGGCAAAAGTCTGGGACACGTCCGACCCCCACAGGTTGCCAACACCCTCCTCTCCAAGTGTACCAACAAGTTATGCTTCAATCACCCCGGTGAGGGAGGGGCTTTCCAGTCAGCGGGACACGCCTGGCAACCAAGACCCGGTGCAGGCTGGCCCAGGAAACCAGCGTAGCCCCTCGTCGAGAGCTAGGGACCCCTTGTCTCTGCAGAAGAACCACAACCACCCACTGCTGTGGCCCAGCTGGACGAAAAATCGAAATACAGCCCAAGTGAGCAAATCTGGTGGCCACCCCCTGTACCCGTCCCACCTCTGCAGCACTGAGGTTTTCATGGATCCACAGGGAAAACGTAGCCGTGATATAACAGCAGGAGCAGGGACTGCCGTGTGCTAAGCTTTACTAATCCCTCGTTACTAGACATGCACCTGTTCTGTTTGTCACAGTATCCCCAGTCAGTCTGCAGGATGGTGCCGGCCCTCACTACATGCCTCACCTCAGTGGGAAAATTATCTGTGTATTCGCACACTCTGGGAAGGTAGGTGTTATCATTATCATTATTATATTATATTCCTATTTTCCAGATGGCAAACTGACTCAGAGGTGAATTAACCGATAGGTCTCTAGTGAAAAAAACCACACAATGGGAAACACTCTATCTCCTCTCCTTTCCCGATATAAGCATCTCTTGATTCCCAAAATGATCCGAATCTGTGACAAATGAGTATCTTCCCCCCTCAAGTTCCAGGCTTTGTGTTCATTTTCTTTACAGTCACACTCAACCAGGAGTGAAAAGCTTCAATGTTCCAGGAGGCCCCTGTTTCAAGGATTAACTGTATAGTAAGCTCCTGGACAAAACGCAGAGCGTGCTGCCAACAGTGGAGGGACGGAAGCAATTTGGGATTTTTCCCGAGACAATTAGCTATGGCACTCGGGGGGTTGCTGGTGGAGTTCTGTCTGCTCTCAGTTTAGCTAACTAAAAAGTGGGTGGGAGCTCGTGTGCACGCATGTATGTTTGAGAGCTCAGGCTTAAAAGAAAATATCCTCTTTATTTTGTGATCTCCAGCACAGAGCTGAGGGCTCGAATCCTGGGGCCATCACTTCTAGCTGTTGCTCAAACAAGTGACTGCACTCTTAGGAGCCTCGGGTGCCTCCAAGTTTAAAATGGTGGTGGCGTGGGGCGCCTGGGTGGCTCAGTCGTTAAGCATCTGCCTTCGGCTCAGGTCATGGTCCCAGGGTCCTGGGATGGAGCCCCGCATCGGGCTCCCTGCTCCACAGGAAGCCTGCTTCTCCCTCTCCCACTCCCTCTGCTTGTGTTCCCTCTCTCGCTGTGTCCCTCTCTGTCAAATAAATAAATACAAAATCTTAAAAAAAAAAAAAAAGCTTTAAAATGGTGGTGGCAGCAGTGGGTAAATCACAGTAGCCAAGTCCTTGGATTCTTGGGAGGGTAAAATACAATATATATGCATAGTGCCTGGCAAAGGTTTGCCCTCAGTCAATGCTAGTTCTTTTTGCTTTTTTATTGTGGTAAAATATGTACAGAACAAAATTTACCATTCTCACCATTTTTAAGGGTTTGGTTCAGTGGCACTGAGTACATTCATGGAACTTTTCATCATCTCAAACTGGCTCATGGTAATTCTAAGCGGTCACATTCTTTCCATTATCCTCACACTAACTTCTCAGAGGCAGAGGCGGAGAGAGTCCCCTTTGCAGGGGGCAGGATGGAGGAGGGAGTAAGGATGGAGTGAGTTCCTTTTCAGAGGGCTGTGTCTCCTAGAAAATGAAAGCCGGTGGATTTTCCTCTGGAAAACAAACAGGCCCAGAGATTTTAAAACACTGACTTCCGTGTAACCACTTGAAGTTTTAAGAATACAAGAGGGAGCGCTTTAAAATGAATGGAATATGAAATGATTGCAAATCTTAACAGTCTCGTTTATGTCTCCGAAAGCAGGCTCTCTCCAGATTGGCCCACTTTGGCAGGCAAGAAGCAGCAATCACATTTACTCGAGAAATTATGATGTTATGTAACTCAGTGGTGCCTGGTCTCGTTTTTGCTCTGTGTGTAAAATGTCATCTTGTATTAATTCATTAACTAGATTCACTTTTCTTAAGAGCTTAATGAGCCTGCTGGCCAAATTACTAATATCAGAGTTGCCTGGGCCCTGAGTTCTGAGTGCATAATCCATGGATAATGAAGTTTCCATTTATTCTGGCTGTCTCTCAAGCGAATGCCCTCATGCTCCGCTGTCAGACAGCTTGAATTCCTGTCCTAAATCTGCCGCTAAGACTGTGTTATTGCAGGCAATCTGGTCACCACCCAGAGACCACTGCACTCTCGAAACTGCCAGAAGCTGCCGCCGCTGCGTGTGGGAGGACGGGCTGTGTTGTCCCCAGCTCCGGGGCTCTTCTTCGCCTCAGGATCGTCACAGATTTCTACAGTTATCACAACAGTTTTCTGGCAGGTGGCAGTCAAGTGTCCTGAGGAGGCGTGCCTGTTCCTCATGCACAGAGAGGTGCTGTCTGGGCTGATGGAGGCAAAGTGGGGGGCGGGGGGGACGTGACGCTTGAGACGTGGTGTTCCTTTGCTTCTAAAACATTCCTTCCTCCAGAAGCAAATCGAATTTCCTAAAAGGTACAATTTCTCACCTATCACACTGGCAAAGCAAAGTTGGAATTTCCCATTTTGTGGGCCAGGTCTTGGGATGACAGGTGTTAACTATTATTCACGAATGCGGCTGGTGGGAGGGTGAACGGGTATCACCCAGGGTGGTGACGGGGTTCACCATACACATCAAAATAAAAATGTACGTGTCCTTTGGTCCAGCCATTCCACCCTCAAGAATCTGTTTACTAGACAGACTCATGCACACGAGAAGTAACTTTTTAATATGCATATTAATTGAAGCATCATTTGTAATAGCACCCATATCACGAATGATCTGAATGTCTCCCAGTGGCAGTTGGGCTAAATTAACCATGGTGCCTCCATATGATTCCACACCTATTTAAAAAATCAGGGCAGCTCTACATATGCTGATGGGGAACAATCTGAAAGAGATCTTGACCCATGAAAAGAAGCAAAGTTCAATAGAGAACGCATGGAATATTTCTAGGTGGCCACACGGAACTGGTAATGCTGGGAGGTCCCAGGGTGGAGGAGAGAGGTGAAGGGAGATTTATTTACTCCTTTCTACTTTCTACTCTTTGTACTACATTGTCCCTTCTAAAACCATGACTATTGTCCACCACCTTTGGTACTGCCTAAGCTGACGTGTCTGTTTGTTTTCCTTCCTTCTCTCCCTGTAATGTGAGGACCCCTCGGGGTCCATGCCTCACAGTCACTCACTCACTTGACAACCCCCACTGACTTCCCACTCCCCGAGTATGGCACCATCGCCTCCCACCTGACCTCTGGAGTCCTGTTCTGGAATGTTCGCTGTCCCATTCAAACTGACTCCTCATCACTCCTCTGAAAGATCAACTCCTGTGTGCCTTTTTTTTTTTTTTTAATATTTTTAAAGTCTCTTTTTCTCCAGATTACATATCTTAAAAAGTCAGGTTGCTTGAGGTAGCTATAATTTGCACACAATCCAATGTCCCCTTTTAAAATGTGCAGTGAGAAGAGTTTCACAGAACAGAACAGTTGCATAACCACGACCACAACAAGACACGGAACCTTTGCATCCCTCCCGAGAAGTTCTCTCATGCTCTTCTGCAGTCCATTCACCGCCCCTGGAAAACACTCATCTGTTTTCTGCCCAAATGGATTTACTTTTTCCAGCAAGGCTTGTCACTGGAATCATACAGTACGGAGCCTGTTGTGTCTGGTTTCCTCTGCTCGGCGTGGTGCTCCTGAGATTCCTCCATGTTTCTGAGCATCAGTACTGCCCTCCTTCAGAACATGCAGTCGCACCCCGCAGTACGCAGGGATCAATATTTGTCCAGGGAGGGAACTGGGTTGTTTCCAGTTTCTGGAATACGGATCGTTGCATGAACATATATTTTCTGATTTCTTGGGTTTATGCCTTAGGGGTAAGGCTGCTGGGCCACACGGGAAGTGTACGTTGAACTTTGTAAGAAACTGTCATCCTGTTTCTTCACGGCGGCCACAGCATTCTGCATCCCCCCAGGTGCTCTGC